AACTACGAGGGGCATACCCCAAGGAAAAGGAACAATAAGTGCATCCCAAGGAAATGTTTAGGAAGCACACGAAGTAAAGGTCTAATTCTAAAACCCAAAATGGGGTTAAAGAACCTACAAACCCAAATGAAAAAACTATCACAAAAGGTAAGATTGTAATAAGCCCAGCATCGAATTTTTGGGCCATCAAGAAAAAGCCCAACTGAATTCCAATCATCCCCAACACTCTTGCACACCCATAAGCTTGGCGCATCCCAACAGCAGCAATTAGGCCCAACATGACAAAGCCTATCACCATCCAAAGCATTTAGGTCCAATTTGGTAGTCCAAGCCCAGTTCAGATCTTCAACGCCCACATTGTGCATAATCATCTTGTCCAGATCAACATCAAAAGCCACCCATCGAGAGGGAGAAGTCGCGAACCTGCATTCAAATCGAAGACTCTGCCTACTTCCAACAATGATTTGAGATCGAACAAGCCTCTCGATCTTCTTACCCCAATCAATTTTAGTTTCACCATCCCCTATATCATGATAATCGATCAAAATGGCAGCAAATTCTAGGGTTTCAATCCAATCACCCTTATCCAAGATACGAGTCCAGATCATCCTCTTCGAATCCAGAAGAGATCGACACCATTGCCAGGTAATAGAAGAAACGTACAATGCCCTTTTCATAGTCGATTTCTCCTCATCATCATTCCAATTCCAAAGATTCTGTCGCACACTGTACCCATTGCGAATTTTAGAAAAATTAACCCTTTCTTTCTTGCCTCTAGGGTTTCGAATCAGCCATTTATGTTGACCAAGAGAACGATCAAGCCATCTATACGGAGAGACAACGAAAGTAGGCGCAATATGGGATTGAATCCACATCCAGAAGTTAAGAAAAACTAGCACAGACCAGCAGACATGAAGACCATAAAGCCTTCGACTTTGCGCAATTACATCCCGGATACACACCAAGCCAACACATTGAAGGACAAGCAGATGGCCAGAAAGCACAGAAAAAGAAGACAGAGACAAAGAATAGTTTTGACATTGAATACTCCAATTGCATCTGTAATCATTATTTGGAATCCAAACAATTGGAAACCAAACTTCAACAATTATCAATAAAGATCTTATTTTTATGCAATGTCTGTTGGTCTTGAGTAAACTTCCAAGGTGATGCAGCATAGGATAGATGGTTAGCTGCATCAATTGTTCACCCAAAAGACTTGACCATATACCAATAGACCATATACCACCAGCAAAATCACCCTCCCAAGCTACATGTTTCACACACAGATCACCAGTATCCAGAAACCAGACAGGTTGAGACATACACCCACTGGTCATACAGATAACACCATTAGACCACATCTTGGACAAATGGAACAGGGCAAGAAAAAGCCAACAGATGTGCAAATGGCCAAACTCAAACAAAAAGGTGATTAGGACAAAAGCAATAGGTAAGGAGGGATCAGTCTCAAGATGAGAAAACAGACCCATAGAGGCAACAAGATTAAAAAGATCAATCCCAAAAGTAGAAAACAGTCCCATAGTGGTAACATAGGTAGCCAGATCAAAGATCAACAGCCAGTGTACCAAAACATATGAGACAGGGTCCTCCATCGCGGTAGGATCATAGATCAACCACCTACTGGAGGCCCAAGACCAAAAAAGGGGGGAGAATGAAAAATAGCAGAAGTCAAAAGAGGGAAAGAACAAACGGCTAAGCGAAGTCCGAATACCAACAGAGATAGGTAAAGCCATAAAAGCAGCAGTAGGTAGATCATCCATAGAAATCCAGATTGAAGTATGAACCAAAACAAGAAAACTATACCACCATCTTATGATCATAATCGGCTGAAGATATAGCCAACAGAGTTGACCTCCAACATCCATATTTGTCCACAAGCCAAAAGAAATCTTCCTGATCACCTCATGCAAGACAGCACGGGTAGCTTTGTAACTGTACACAGGAAAAGATGGTTTGTTCATAGTCATCCACCATCCTCTATCCACAAAACTGGGACTCCTATACCCCCAATACCCAAGAAACGAAACCAAACATAAAAGAAAAACAAAAAGCTTTTTTCTTTTATATTTGGTGACTCCAAAATACCAATTATAACCCACCCCTTTCACCCACATAATGCACAAACACATGACTTCAACCCTGTACACCTTATAGCAATGGCTCCCAGCAACCATCCATACCTCCGAATAAACCTCCTTATATCGCCAAGTCAAAAACAAACAACACCCTATCTCCTCTACCCTGCTTCCCCTTATTACATCATCCCAAAGAATAGTCCCAATACCCCAAAAAAAACCAGACCAAGCTGGCAAAGTACTTGCACATAAAAATGTTAGTAGAAAGTAATCTTTTTGTCCCGGTCCACCCCGTAAAAACCCATTGTAACCCAAAGTGTTTCCCAAAGCCCCCCCCTTTGATCCCAAACCCAAGGATTCTCATAAGCATATATTGAATATTTCTCTAACCCCTCGTCAGCAAGAAAAAGACAAGAAGCCCACCAAATAAGACCATACTCCAAGAGAAGCTCATCAGTAAGCATCTCCATACTCCAAGAAACGCTCATCCCCACACACTCCACATCCGGATTAAACAGAAGGCTTGTCAACATAAATGAAATCACCTTTTTCAAAACCCAAACCCCAAATCTCGGCAGCCCTTCTCACATGCTCATTATCTTTGACTTTAGGCCCAAAAGTTTCAATCTGATCAAATCCAAAATTTGTTTAGACAGGCACTCAACAGATCTGTGCATTTCAGAATGAATTCTGTGATTCCTTTCTTGCCAAATGAAGTACACAACAGCAGCAAGAAGAAGTCTGTGAATGATACTCCATATAGAATTGCATAAAGGACCATTAGATAACTGCTGAACCAATACAACCCAGGCATTATTAGTTCCCTTCAAACTTTGAATCTTGTCAAACATACCAGAAAACCCTGCAAGATATCTCCAAACTTCATTAACATACTGGCATTCAACAAATAGGTGGCTGTGAGTCTCCACTCCATCATTACATAGAACACATAACCTCTCTTCAGTCACTCTCCAACTGGCAAGTCTATCAAAAGTTCGCAGCCTTTCCCATATGGCGAGCCATAGGATAAAGGCATGTCTTGGAACACCATGGCTAAACCACACCAATTTAGACCAGGGCACAAGTTCAAAATTCATGAACAGGTCACTCCACACAGTAGCAACCTTGAAATCAACAGTTGAGCCTCCTCTGTCTTTCCACCTGATTGTCACACACATCATCTTTCAAGCAAGGCATGAATTGTTGGAGGATATAACCATGCTTGCACCAAATCGCAGGAGGTCATAACCATAGGCCATCAGACACCATATCACTGACTTTTAAATTTAGCTGCAGGTTAGCAGCATAAATTTCTCTTTTGGATATATACAAGCATAGGGGGCCAGCAGGGTGCCAAGAGTCAAACCACAAGGAGGTGGATCTTCCATTACCCAGAACGTGAATAATGTGAGTTCTAAACATGTTTCTAATTCCAATGGCTTTCCTCCAGAACCAAGGAGCATCATGAACCACACCCACATCCCAAAAATTCCTTCCTTTCAGTCTGTAAGCATGAATCCATCTGACCCATAATGATTCTCCATTTTCAACAATTTTCCATATTTGCTTGGCTAAAAGGGCTTTATTCCAATTCTTCAGGTCTTTAACTCCCAGTCCCCCCATATTTCTAGGATGACAAACAGTTTTCCAGCCAACTTTAGCCTTTCCTCTAACAGCCTCCCCACTACTCCATAGGAAACTTCTAAGTAACTTTTCAATTTCTTTCACCACAGACACAGGTAGCAGGAATAAAGACGCCCAATAAACACTTATAGAGGAAAGAACCGAGTTTATCAACTGCAATCTTCCAGCAAAGGATAACCATTTGTTTTTCCAGTCCAGGACTCTTCCCTTAATCTTGTCAATTAAGCCCACACAATCCTTATGAAAGAGTTTAGACGATAAAAGATGAACTCCCAGATACTTAACAGGTAGAATTCCCAGCTTGAAAGGCAGGATCTTCAATATTTCAGTTCTATTGCTACCCACAACATTGCCCAAGTAAGAAGTGCTTTTCCCCATACTTGGTTTCAGACCAGAGACACTGCTAAATTCCATTAAAGCATCCTTGAGAACCTTGACAGATCCCACATCCCCATGGCAAAACATCAACAGGTCATCAGCGAAGCATAAGTGAGTAAGACCCAGTTTCTCACATTTTGGGTGAAACTTGAAATTATCTTCTTCTTTAACCTTTCTTTTGACCATAAGAGTAAGGACTTCCATAACAAGGGTGAATAAGTATGGTGACAGTGGATCACCCTGCCTGAGCCCCCTCATGCCCGGGAAGAAACCATGATGATCTCCATTAACACGAATGGTAAAGGCAGCAGTTTTAACACACTTCATAATCCAACATATCATACAAGGATGAAAACCAAAAGATTTAAGAACAACTTCAAGGAAAGACCAGTTCACCGTATCGTAGGCTTTCTGAATATCCACTTTAAACGCACACCTTCTAGTTCCTCTCTGCCTGTGATATCCCCGCATGAGCTCTTGGGCCAAAAGGATATTATCACTAATCTGCCTATTCGGAATGAAGGCAGACTGATTAGGATCCACCAGATAATCAAGAGAGCTTTTATTCCTGTTAACAATGATCTTGCTGATACATTTGTACAACACATTACAGCAAGCTATCGGCCTAAAATCAGCAACACTTTTTGGAGATTGGGATTTAGGAACAAGGGCAATTACAGTAGCATTCACCTTATGAAGCAACTTTCCATTATCAAAAAATTGCTGGATAGCCCTGCAAGTTTCTTTACCAACAATATGCCAGGCTTTCTTAAAGAAACAGGAAGAGAAGCCATCAGGTCCAGGAGCTTTAGTATCATCAATATCGAAAATTGCATCACGAATTTCCTTTTCAGTCACATGTCTGACCATATCATCAGCCTATATAGTCGACAGTCTTTTCTGGAATAAAGAAGAGGGATCCTCAATCGACTTGACAGAGTCCTCAGTGCCCAAAATAGACTGAAAATGCTTGACAAATTGTTCCGCAACATCCGGGCCCACATACCTATTACCCTCCAAATCTTCAACCTCATTAATCCTGCCTTTATTAACCTTAGACTTGACAACATTATGAAAGTAGGCAGTATTGGAATCACCTTCTTTCAACCAGTGAATCTTTGATCTCTGTCGCAGAAATTTTTCCTCAGCAACTAACGCATCTTTTAGCAGTTTAAGATAGACAGCCCTATCCAAATGAACTTCTCCATTCTCCGGTTCAGCATCCATACAAGTCTGAGCAATATTCAATTCAACACGGAGATTCTTCACATTTTCAAACACATTGCCATGTTCCATATTCAACTTTCTAAGACCTTTTTTAACATCTTTAAGCTTAGAAACCACATAAAACATATGGCAGCCTCCAACATATCTAGACCAGGCATTATTAACAAGAGGAAGGAAATTAGGGGAGTCAGACAGGTGATTGTTGAATTTGAAAGGCTTAGCATGGAGGGAAGATTTGGAAGAGGAATGAACATCAATATTAACCACAGCTGGGCAATGATCAGAAAGCCCATAAGGAAGGAATGAAGCATGCACAGAAGGAAAGGAAGCCAGCAGACTCAGATTCCCAAGAACTCTATCCAATTTTTTAAGAAGGCCCTTCTGCTCCGTATCCGACATAGGTTTTTGGATCCAAGTGAACTTAAAACCAGACTAATTAACATCCTTCAACTCAGCCTCATTGATACATTCTCTGAAATCAAGCATACCCCGCGTAATCAAGGAAGTACCCCTAGAGCTGTCACCCGGATTTAGCCCCACATTGAAGTCACCCATCACAATCCAAGCGTCATTGTGCACCAGCCTGCTATGAACTCTAATTGAATCCCATAAATCTCTTCTTTCATTAACATTATTAGCCGCATAAACTACAAAACAATGGAACTTCACATTAACATCAATTAGGTGAGCTTGGGCATGAACAACCTGGTTATGGAACTCAAGAAACATCATATTAATCTTGTTTGGGTTCCATCCAATAATAATTCTGGTACGACCATTGTAAACAGAGTTATTAGAAACCCAAAGCCAGTTGCCAAAAATACCATCACAAATCACCTTTAATTTTCCCGCACAAACCTTAGTTTCAACCATCGAACACAAATCCAAATTATTTTCAGAAATAAGCCTTTTCACCTCATTTCTTTTAGAGACCACATTGAGGCCTCTTATGTTCCAAACAGCCAGCTTAACCATCAATAACAGCTCTAGGGCTAACCAACCGATCCCCTCCCTCTTCTTAAATTTTCTTCTTCAACATTCATAAACTCAGGCGCATCAGTATTACATGGGACATCTTCAAACAACGCATGCTTTCTGTAATACTCAACCTGCTCCTGAGACCATGCCTTAAAAACTTCATCAGAGGGATTCACACCATGTTCCAAATAAAAATTAACCGCTTCTTGATCAAAGAACCATTTTTGTTCATTTTCATTTTCACTATCTTCATTCATCTCATCAAGGGCATCAAAGGAGTTGCTAGTAGGGATAGAATCAGGCATGACTTTAACATTTATCTGCTGTCCACCAACACTCTCCTTTAACACCTTCTAAAAAAAACACCTGCTGTAGCGTGATCCCTCTTATTTTTGTCTTTTAAAGCAGAATTTTCAACAAGCTTAGCAGTCTTGTGTTGTTGCACATGAGCACCAGCCCCTGTTTCCTTCACCCGATCAGCACTAGTTTTAAGACCACTTTTCTGCCCTATTTCCATTTTAACAGCAGCAATATTTTTCTCATCAGAGCTACCATTTTGAATTCCCTTAGGACTTGCCTTTTGCCCTCTGGAAGGCTGCCCAACTTTGCTGTATTCAACGTTTCCACTTTTTGATTTACTTTGCTGATGCCCCTGTTTGCCATTATACCCACCAGCTTTTGGAACATACTGAGACTGCAACACTCCATTTTGAACTGAACCTTGGCCTTGAGAATAAAACCTTTGATTAACCCAAGTTTTAGTAGCAGTATTAGAGCTACCTCCCACCTGTTTGCCCATACCCTTGACTTGTTGATTACCCTCAGCCTTTGATTGTGAAAGAATAGGTCGATTTCGTTTCCCAACCATCTGAAAACCCTCATCACCAGTCTTTAGATCTTTCTTTGACTCTTCCATTTTCAATTTTGCCATCATTTCAACTTCAGAGAGAGGACGCGCTTGACACTCATTAAACGAGTGACCAATGACAGAACAGTGCTTACACCGAGGAGGCTTCCAATTATAAACAGCTGTGACAGAGACTTCTTTATCAGTTTTACCATCCAAGGAAGGGATAAGAGTAATAATTTCATCAGGGATCACTTTATCAGCAGCAACTTCAATCAAAACTCTAGCAAAACCTGCCCTACCAGATTGAGAAACACATCTTTCCTCAGTAGCCCGATCAAGAGTAAGAGGAACACCAATGCCACTTTCTAGTTCACTAAGACCTTGAGCGTTCCACACTTCAAGTAGGACACCATACAGGTTAACCCAAAGTGGTAGCTTCTTTAATTCAGGTTTCCCAAGAAAATTACCAGCTTCCCATTTGCTCACAAACAATGGGACACCATTAACAAGCCAAGGCCCATTTTCAAGAACATACTTCATACCATCCTCATTATTAAATTTAAGCAGAAAATATCCCTCATAGTTGGAAGCTACATTAATCAAGCCATACCTTCTCCACATACGGCTGAGATTGTTATTAACCACAAAGTAAGGCATATTAGCTCCAACAAAATGCCCAACAAGAAGCATGGCATTTTTCTTACTACCTTCAATGATGACTTCCTTTGAAAATCGAATCGCCATCCTACCATCATGCAACAGAACAGGAGGTTTATAGCTTAAAACAATCTTACTTTCTGATTTGCCTTTAATCTTGTCCGCTAGAGTTATGCCCTTAGTACTCCATATGTTCATAGGCTTCTTAGCAGAGTTATCTTTAACATTATTAGCTGACCCCTCCACATTATCAGACATGATCACATCCTGGAATTCACTTAAGTCAGGACTAGCAGGTCCTTTACCATCAATAACCTTTTTGGGCAAATTTCTATCCTTCCCCTGCCCCTTACAAACTACATCTCCACCAGAATCGATCGAGAACATGATCCCTGCCTTTTCAAGATTTCGAAGATTCGACTTGTTAGCCAAACCTTGATCAGATGCAGAAACCTGTTCATAGAGGTTTCGAAACTCACCAACATTTGATCCAGCAGAATGAAAATCACTTTCAGAGTTAATATCAACATTATAAAGCATGGTAGGATCAGATATAACCTGTTTCCTTTCACATGGATTAGTCTTGGTTCCTTCCTGGGAATTTCGTGAACACCCACCAGGTCCAGATTCAAATTTGTGAATAACATTTTTGATGTATTGTTCTGAGTTGCTCATATAGTCCAGATTGGAGCGAAAATTACCAGGATCAGATACCGATTGATTACCAAGTTGAACATTAGCAGAGTCATATTTCAAAATAGGAACCGTAACACGAGCAGGGGCCAAAATCGATTCATTCACATTCACCATTGATTCAATCTCACGCATCAAATTACCTTCAAACGACTTGGAATCCATACACTTTCCTTCCTTAGAAACAAATTTCACGACCTTCTTCCTATGGCCGTGCTTTTTCGACGAGGCGGGTTTAGCAATTGACGATTTCGAACTGTTATCTTTCTTCGAACTATCTTTGGTTCGATCAGAGATCGATTGATACTCGTCAATCACATCCTTAGCAGAAGGGGCATCAAACACATTTGAATCATCATTAATTTTACGGTTTTCATTAAGAACGGGATCGATAGGATGAGAAATCAGACGGGAATCGATAGGATCCATGCAAAATCAGTAAAGTAGATTACATAATCGAAGCAACAGCAAGGAAACAGAGATGAGAAACGGGTGAAATCAGCAAAAACAAAGAAAAAAGTTGAGAGAGAATTTCTAGAGAGAGAAAGTTAGAGAGAGAAAAAAAAACGCGCAAATGAGAATCCTTAGGGTTTAGGGTGTAGGGTGTAGGGTTTAGGGTTTAGGGTTTTTTTTGATAGAGAGGGGGGGGGGGGTGACCCCTCCAGATCAAGAAAAAACACTTAAACGCTAAAAGCGAGACAAAATACGCGCTCGGGTGGGGGCGAACCACATCCACCAGAAGAAAACCAAGGCACCCAGAGAGAAAAAAGGAGGGAGAAGGCGAAGAAGAAAGAAGAGAGGAAGGGAAATAGAGAAAGGAAAAAACAGAGAGAGGGGAAAAGACGAAGAGAGAGAAGAAGAGGGGATAAAGAGAAAGAAATAGAAACCGACCACAAGGGAAGGGCCCAGGCAAGCCAAGACTGGGAAACAATGGGGAACACCACAAGAGCAAGAGAAGGGGCCTAAAAAAGGCACACCCTAGACCGCACCAAGGAAACCGAGAGAGCAACGGAGCTCACAAGACCAGAAAAAATAGCAACACAAAGACAGAGAGCTAAGGGAGATTCCAGGCGAGCCGAACCCGAGCAACATTGGGGTTTGGGGTTAGGGGTTAGGGTTTAGGGGTTAGGGTTTAGGGTTTAGGGGTTAGGGGTTAGGGGTTAGGG